CCAGGATGGTCTCGATCTCCTGACCTTGTGATCCGCCCGTCTCGGCCTCCCAAAGTGCTGGGATTACAGGCTTGAGCCACCGCGCCCGGCCAACAAATAGGAAGCTTCTAACGGGTACTTAAACCCCAGATGATTTGCAACTAGGGCTCTTGAGCTGCTTGCTCAAGCCTGCTCCTGATATGTGCAGTATACTTTTGCTTCAATAAATCTATGCTTTTGTCTTCTATTGCTTTGTGTGTTTTGTCCAATTCTTTGTTCAACATGCCAAGAAACTGGACAACTTATAGTCAAGACCCTCCACTGGTAACATATCTTGGCAAGTCAGCCAGGAGGTAAGCCCAAATTTGGGGATTTATTTCTCTTTGCCTTTTCCCTTTTTCTTTTCGGACACAGGCTGGAGTTATCTCCATGCAGGGCTCCTTCCACTCCACAGAGGGGAACCCTTTCCGCTCTCTTTCCCTTTTCCAACACGGGATTCTTCACAGACAGCATCTAAGCATGAAGGCAACAGCAGGTGTCTGGCCAGGGCCACTCTCCCAGGAGACTGAAAGGTATCCACGTGGAAGCACCTGACCACCACTGCCTGGTTTGGGTGAGGGACCTGAGTCCTTCTCTTTTTTTCAGTCTTTCAGAGGCTGTTTCCTAGTAGATCCTTGGTAATTGAGGGCAACTAGCCAGGGCCACTCTCTGGTGTTACCTGAAGGCCAAGAAGTGAATGGAGACAGCTGCCCTGCCCAGAATGGGTAAGTACTCTTTTCTGTCTTTCTTGGTTACAGTCCCTAATCCCTACGTATGATGAAATTGACAGTGGCAGCTCTTCTAGAACAAATTCACACATGTTTCAGTCAACTTAAGCCCTCTTTCCTTATGCCAAATTCTCCTAAAGAGTTAGCTTGTAATGGCAAAAGATATCTCTTAGGCATTCTGACTTCCCCTTCAACTTGCTGAGGACTTTTGGGGCCCACAATCTTTAGAATACATTCTACATCTTGTTTCTTTTGTCATCACCATATTATTCTTATAGAATGACCTGCCCTTACATGGGGTCCACTGTCATGATGGTGGATTTTTAAACATTCCCTCTCTTGTTGAGGGCCTGAGTGGAAGAGCCAACCCTATTATTTCATTTTTCATGCTCCAAATCTACCTTTCCCCCCTGAGACTACCTGTAAAATCCACATGACAAAAGAAATCCATCCAACTTCTAGTTCCTACTATTAAAGTTCATGGCTATCACTCCAGTGGAACAGGAAACAATGGCCTTATCAAATTATAAGGATGCTAGAAGTCAAGGCCTTCATCCAGGGACAAAAGGAAGGCTCACAGTGGGTCATCAGTGGTGGAGAGAACCTTCCCAAAGTGGTACCAGCACCCATCTAAGGTCAGACTAAGGTGGGGCCCTAAAGGGGGACACCCCTGAGGAACCCAATCAAGGCCCAGAGATTTTGCAGGGGGATGCCCCGGTAAAATCTGAGTCACCAAATAAGCTAGGTTCTCTTCTTTCTTCCAGACCACTATGGGCAATTCTCCATCCATTCCATCTGATTCCCCACTTGGCTGCATTCTCAACCACTGGGAATTCTCAAATGTCAATTCTCAAATGTCAATTTGACCCTGACAATCTAAGGAGAAAAAAACCTGATTTTTTTTTTTTACTGTAATACTGTATGATCCCAAAATTAGCTGGACAGCCGGGAATAATGGGAAGTCTTAATTACAATACCATCCTGCAATTAGACCTATTTTGCAAAAGGCAGTGTAAATGGTCAGAAATCCTACATGTGTAGGCCTTTATGGCCCTATGTCAAAACCCAACCATCTACAAAACTCCCAGAACCTGCCCCCAAAAGGAAGGTTCTAAGGCAGAACTGGATATTGTGGATGACCTCCTTTATGCAAGGGCCACCTGTCTCTTGGGGCAATGGCAACCACCCCCATATAACCCCTTGCCAAGTGTTTCTGAGGCCCAAACCCAAGAGCTAAAGCCAAGGGCCCTGCTAAGTCCCCCTCACATTCAGAGGGGAACACCCTATTCAACTACCTCTATAGCCCTGCTATCCCTTAGGGAAGTAGCAGGAGCCAAGGGGCTGGTCCGAGTGTTGGTCCCCTTCTCCATAAATGACATACAACAATGTAAAGAAAAAGTTAGGAAGCTATTCAGAGAACCCCAGAAAACTTGCAGATAGGTTCCAAGCTTTGACCTTAGCCTTTCATCTCTCATAGAGAGACGTTCAATTCATTCTAGCAACTTGTTGAACCCTCTTGGAAAAGGAATGAATCTTTGAGGTCACTTGCCAAGAAGCAGACAATTTACTTGCCCAAAACCCTCAGGGTTATCGCCCAAACCCAGACACAGTCCCCGCTACTGATCCTAACTGGGACCATAACACCCCCATGGGAATGAACAACTGGGCCAAATTTCTTAAGGCTCTCCTTGGAGGAAAGAAAAAGGGAGTAACTAAGGCAGTAAATTATGATAAAGTAAGGGAGGTTGCACAAGGCAAGGAGGAAAATCTAGCCGTGTTTTATGGCAGGCTGGAGGAAGCCTTTAGAAAATATACCAATCTGGACCCTTCCTCTCCTGAAGGCAGTGTTGAGCCCTCTTTTGTTCCTAGTATTACTACCTTCAGTGTGAACTCTCTTGTTAGTGATTACTCCATTTAGAAGTTTGTACTTTTGGCCGGGCGCGGTGGCTCACGCCTGTAATCCCAGCACTTTGGGAGGCCGAGGCGGGCGGATCACAAGGTCAGGAGATCGAGACCACGGTGAAATCCCGTCTCTACTAAACACAAAAAGTTAGCCGGGCGCGGTGGCGGGCACCTATAGTCCCAGCTACTCAGGAGGCTGAGGCAGGAGAATGGCGTGAATCCAGGAGGCGGAGCTTGCAGTGAGCCGAGATCGCGCCACTGCACTCCAGCCTGGGGCACAGAGCGAGACTCCGTCTCAAAAAAAAAAAAAAAGAAGTTTGTACTTTTTACTGACTACTTTATAGAAACAAATAATCTATATTGCATCATTTTCAAGCCCACAGAAATGTATAAGCCCTATAATCTTGACAGTTTTCAACTATGTTTAATGTTACAAGCATGTAAAACACAGGTGATATATGTAAGAATATGTATAAATACCACTAGATAGCTTATTTTGAAGAGATATTCTCTAAATTTTTTTAACAGTAGATTGCAGTTTCTTAGGTGTGTTTCTCAATATACTCTCTCAATGTTTTAAAGCATATGGAAATTTGAATACTGTTTAACCTCATGTATTCCTTTGTTTACAGGTTGTTTGACTGATTGATTGATTTATCTTGAGATGGAGTCTCACACTGTTGCTCAGGTTGGAGTGCAATGGCGCAATCTCAGCTCACTGCAACCTCCACCTCCCAGGTTCAAGTGATTCTCCTGCCTCAGCCTCCAGAGTAACTGGGATTACATGCGCACACCACACCAGGCTAATTTTTTGTATTTTCAGTAGAGACGGGGTTTCACTATGTTGGCCACACCGGTCTCAAACTCCTGACCTTGTGATCCGCCCACCTTGGCCTCCTAAAGTGCTGGGATTACAGGTGTGAGCGGCCACATCTGGCCAGGTTAATGTTTCTGAGGATTAAAGACATCATGGCTCCCTTTAAGATTCAGTAATATTGATACGTTCGTCAGCTTGCTCCTTTCTGCCCGTGGACGCTGCCGAAGAAGCATCGTTAAAGTCTCTTTTCTCCCTGCTGTCATGTCTAAGTCAGAGTCTCCTAAAGAGCCCGAACAGCTGAGGAAGCTCTTCATTGGAGGGTTGAGCTTTGAAACAACCGATGAGAGCCTGAGGAGCCGTTTTGAGAATGGGGAACGCTCACGGACTGTGTGGTAATGAGAGATCCAAACACCAAGCGTTCCAGGGGCTTTGGGTTTGTCACATATGCCACTGTGGAGGAGGTAGATGCAGCCACGAATGCAAGACCACATAAGGTGGATGGAGGAGTTTTGGAACCAAAGAGAGTTGTCTCAAGAGAAGATTCTCAAAGACCAGGTGCCCACTTAACTGAAAAAGATATTTGTTGGTGGCATTAAAGAAGACACTGAAGAACATCATCTAAGTTATTT